CATACATATATATATATATATGTATATATATATACATATATATATATATAGATTTAAAATAATTATCATATTATTGCTTATATATATATATATATAGATATATATAGATATATAAACAATAATAAGATAATATTATATATACAAATATATATATATATATATTTATGTTTGTACGCGTGTGAGAACGTGTGTGTATCTGTGTATGTATATCAGTATGCATGTGCATAATATGCCTATATACACGCACACACATATATATATTTTATATATATGTATAAAATCAATTATATATATATATATACATATACATTATATATATACATATAGATATATAGATACACACACACACATATATATATATATATATGTATATATATATATATATATTTATTCATATGTGTGTGTCTTTATGTTTATATACGTATATACGTATATATATATACATTATATGTATATATATATACTCACACACACACACATATATATAGATATATATATATATAAAAATAGCTTATTCATACTATTATCATACATTAACCAAAACTCACGCTTACCTGATCATGGAAACGTTTGTATACATCGTTAACAAAGAAAACGGAAGAGAAGGACACTAGGCTACCAATGATTGCCAGTGTGGATGCAGGGATGGCCGGCGCATCCTTCTTCAGTAATACATCAGTATATCTGAGTACCATAAATGTTACGTTCACACCCAGGAAGAACCAGAACCAAGGATCTTTCAAAACTTCCTCCCACAGTGTGCCTGTAGCATACAAGAGGAAAATGTGCAATATATCGATACACAAGAATTTGATAAATACCAAATATTCTTAGTACAAACAAACTATACGAGCACGTTCTTCATTATGAAACCCAAATAAACACAGAATTTTGTATAATGGTTAGGATACAAATTTATTGACGAACAACGACACTGTCGAGTTGATGCACAATCACACAACAGTACTTACGCGATCAGTACATACAGTTATTCGCTATAGTCCATGAGATTTATAAAAATTGTGATATCTGTAAAAAATACGGAAACAGGTGGCTTACCATTATAGCGCATTAACGCCTGTGCAGGCCGTTTTGGGTTATAGCGAACAACCATTGTGTGACAATGTGTGTATTGTGTACGTGTGAAGGTTAAAGGCCCTCGCTATACCCTATTAAAGTCACTATACGCATCATGATTTTCTATTCTTTTGAAGGCAAAGCATGGGTTACATGAGAATGCTATGTTTATCTTCCATCACACACATGTCGCAATGAATTATGTATGTAATGATACTTCATTGAAAAATACAAGTGCATAACTGCATACTTGGGGGTTTTGTTTTATAAAAAAAACAAACAAATAGAGCAAATTGATCAAAAAGATAAGCGATAGATATCTAGAATTTGATGATTGATCCTAAACCTCATTATTACCTATTCCATAAATATACGTGAATGCATCAAAAATGATCATATAAACACAACTGGGTCCAATTATCAGGTAAGCAGTTCAACTTCTCTCTATGTTTTACGAAAACGTATTCAACACTGCTTTTAACTAAAATACTAAAATTTTAAGACAATAGAAATTGACTCGGCACACAGCTGATATACTCCTTATTGGAGTTTGCGGAAAGAATCCAATAATGCAGTTTTTATTAGTCAACATATAAAAGTGCACCGCTGGAATGTCATCTTGAATTTAGGGGCCAATGGCCATAGTATTTTAAATTGTCAGTCTAAACAGTAAACAATAATCATAGCCCTCAAAATAATACATGCAGAGGGCTCTGAAATGCCGGAGGAGGTATGTATAATGTTTTGGTTCATATTAAATTCAGAAGGCTACATATAGAAAAATAAATAATATAACCATATGTAACCCGTCATCTATAAAAAAACAATTGAGGTGTCTATGACAAAACATGCTATGAATAACTCATATCAGACATAAATACCAAAACACATATTTACCTCCCATATCAATAAAATGTATATTTTCAGGAGATAGATATTGATAGATAGTTAGATAGACACACACACACACACATATATATATATATATATATTTATATATATATATACATATATATTTATATATGTATACATTCATATACATATATATATATATATATATATATATAAACATATTCATTACATATTTATATACACGCACATACACATACACAAACACACACACATATATATATAAATATATACGTATAACAATATCAATATATGCATATATACATATACACATATTTATTTATACAGATGTACCGATGTACATACATATATATATATCAACATATATCAATATTTATGTATCAATTTATATATGTATCAATATATATATATATATGTATATAGAATATATATATATATATATACATCAATATATATATATATGTATATAAATATATACATACGCATATACATTTGTATATATATATACACATATATATTTATAAATCTATAATATACATATATATATATATATATATATGTATATATATATAATGTATGTAAATCGATATATACGAACATGTATATGTGTAAGTATATACGTCTATATATGTATATATTGATAAAAACATGATATATATGCCAATATATATATATATATATAAATACATATATATATATATACAAGTATGTATATATAGATATGTATGTGATATGTATGTATGTACTTATATATATATTGATATACATATATGTTTATATATGTATATATATATTGATATATATATATATATATATACATATATATGTACATATATATATACTACATATATGTAATATATGGATATTTGTATATTTGTAGATACATATATATATAAACTTATATGAAATTGTATATGTATGTATGTATATATATATATATGTATGAACGGATGTATGTATGGATATATATATATATATATGTGTGTATACATGTACATGTATATATATATATAAATTATTTATATAGATGGAGTATATATATATATATATATATATCTATATATATACGAGTGTGTGTGTATGTATACGTGTATGTATAGGTATAGGTATATATATATATATATCTATATATATATGTAAATGTATATGTATATGCAAATATATATAAGCATACAATTTTATAGACAGATAGATATATATATATATTCAAATATGTATGCAAATATATATGCATAAATACATACATACATACATATACATGCATCCATCCATACATATACATGTAAATATACATATACATGTGCATGTACATGTATATATATATATATATGGGTGTATAGGTGTATGTATAGGTGTAGGTATATATATATATATATATATATGTATATATATATATGCGTATATATATGTATACATGCATACATATATATACTTATACATGTATATATATACGTATACATATACATATATATGTAAAATCATATATATT